TGGACACAACACACATTTCATCAAATTACTGACCCTCACCAAAATTCACAGAAAAATACCAAGTATTCGATTTTTAATGATTTTTCCAAGTTTCAGGTCAGATTTTCAAATCGGCAATTAACATAGCTACAAACCTTATTTTAACTTGAAATTTTTACACGACTTATAACATCATCAGAGGGTTATACAGTTCAAATTTCGCAGCAATCGGACGAGTATAGGAATTTAGATGATTTTTCGAAGTTTCTGCAACACTACACGATTCAAAAATGCACAACAATTAAATCAATCAATAATTTCGTCTAAGGCCTTCATCATAAGGCCAAAGACTTCAAGTGTTCCATAAGTCCACAGCAATAAACACAATTTAACACAATGAAATCGAATCTCAATAATGAACAAATCACGAGTAAAATCAATTATGTATTAAACTTTAACACAAGATCTCCCAACAAGGCATCAATACATAGCATAAACATACTAAAATAATAAGAATTAACCGCCTTGTACCGTTCTCGGGATAAATCGCACGAGAGAGGGATCGAAAGGCCGAGGGGATCGCGGACGCGCGGGGTATCGGGCCTGCGGGGGCGCTGGCGACTTGCGCGGGCTGCCGGGGCGACTCGCGAGCTTTTGCTGGGCTCCGGGTGGCGACGGGGAGGCGCGTACTGAGGCCTGGGGTGCTCCAACGACCGGGACGCGTGGCCTGGTGCGACGGAATGGCTGAAAATAAAATGAAAGCCGAGGGAGGGGGAGGGGACGAGAGAGAGATCGGGGAGAGAAGGAGGGAGATGGAGAAAGGCGGCTAGAAAAAAAAATGAGGAGGGGAGGGATTATCTTCTCCAATATATAGGGCTAGGGCTTGTGACTTACCATACAAGTCTTTTGCCAAAAAATCCAACAACACACAAAAGGAAAGAGGGGAAGGGGCGGATGCCTAGGCGCGGCTTGGCTCACGGGCGCGAGATTCGCTGCTCGAACATGATCGGTTTGACGAAATAAAATTACAATAATAATAATAATTAAAATATTTAAAATAGAATTTAATATTTAAAATAAAATACCACAATTAATATATATATATATAATAAACACAATTTGGCACATAAAATCATTTAAGCATTTAGACAAATAACATTCAATAATAATAGCCACAAATAATGATAACAATAATCCAAATTATTCATAAACGAACGGGGCGTCACAGTCTACCCACCTTACAAAGAATTCCGACCTCGGAATTCGAAAATGAAACTAGAAAGCGATAAAGATACAAAGGAGAATTCAGAACTCGAAATTCGGATAACGCCTCCTAATACCGTCCTCCCTCTCCCAAGTCGCCCCGGTCTCATCGTGTCGGCTCCACAGCACCTTCACTAAGCTCACTGCCCGGTTCCTCAGCTGATGGACCTTCCGATCCAAAATAGCTACCGGCACCTCATCATAGGTAAGGTCTCGCTGGACCTGCTGCTCGCCGAAGTCCACGATATGATCAGGATTATGCACATACTCCCGAAGCATCGAGACATGGAATACGTCGTGCACACCCGACAAGTCTGGTGGTAAAGCTAGCCGATACGCTAAGTTCCCGACTCGGTCGAGGATCTCGAGCGGCCCAATATAGTGGGGTTTAAGCTTTCCTTTCTTCCCGAAGCGAATCACCCCTCGCATGGGTGAAACCTTCAGAAGAACATGATCTCCCACCGCATACTCATGCTCATGCCTCTCCCGGTCGGCATAGACCTTCTACCTCTCCTGGGCGGATCTAATGGCCTTCCGGATCTCCTCAACGGTCGCAGCAGTACTCTGAACAAAATCCGGTCCTGTGATCCTCCTCTCTCCGACCTCATCCCAATACAAAGGAGTCCGGACCTTACGTCCGTATAAAGCCTCGTATGGGCACATCTTGATCGAAGAGTGGTAGCTGTTGTTGTAGGTCAGCTCGACTAGCAGAAGGGCATACTCCCAAGTCAGGCTTCGGTCCAAGACCACAGCACTCAAGATATCCTCCAAGTACTGGATCACACGCTCCGACTGACCATCGGTCTGGGGGTGGAAGGCTGTACTAAACTCCAACCTCGTCCCCATGGCTCGGTGCAACGTCCTCCAGAACTGGGATGTGAACTTGGCATCTCGATCCGAAACAATCTCCACAGGCACTCCATGAAGCTTGACAATGTCCTTGACGAACAATTCGGCGTAATCACTCGCCTTCATGGTCGTCCGGATAGGCAAAAAATGAGCAGACTTCGTAAGGCGATCCACTATCACCCAAATCGAATCACACCCGCTCCTTGACCTCGGCAATCCAACCAAGAAATCTATGGCGATGTAATCCCACTTCCACTGGGGAACCTCCAGAGGCTGCAATAATCCTCTCGATTTCTGGCGCTCAGCCTTCACTTGCTGACACACCAGGCACCCATCCACAAACTTTGTCGTCTGCCTCTTCATGCCTCGCCACCAGAAAAATTTCCTCAGGTCCTGATACATCTTCGTGCTACCAGGATGGATGGTGTACGGGGCACTATGGGCCTCCTTCAGAATCTCTCTCCGCACTTCCCACACCCTCGGAACACAAAGTCTACCCTCGAAGACAAAGGCTCCATCGGATGCAACTGCGAATCCACCAATTCTACCGGCTGCGGACAACTATCTCATCCGGCATAGGAAACGGTCATTCGGTTGCTCGGCAACTATCCTCTCTCGAAGAGTCGGCCCCACAACCAAGGAGGCCAACACACTCCCGGCTGTCGAAGTCGACTCCACTGCCTCCAACTGCAATCGCTCGAACTCCCGAAGAAGAATATCCTGCTGGGTGAACACGCAAGACAACTGGCCATGGCTCCTCCGACTAAGGGCATCGACCACCACATTTGCTTTCCCAGGGTGGTAGCTAATGGTGCAGTCGTAGTCCTTGACCAGCTCCAACCACCTACGCTGCCCCATGTTCAGCTCCTTCTGAGTGAAAATGTACTTTAAGCTCTTGTGGTCGGTAAAGATCTCGCACTTGCCTCCATAGAGATAATGCCTCCAAATCTTCAATGCGTGGACAACAGCGGCCAACTCAAGATCATGAGTGGGATAGTTCTGCTCGTGAGGCTTCAGCTGCCTCGAAGCATATGCTACGACTTTCCCTTGCTGCATAAGGACGCACCCCAAACCCATCTTCGAAGCATCACTATAGACGGTGAACTCCAAAGTAGGGTCGGGTATGGCTAAGACATGCGCGGTGGTGAGTCTCCTCTTCACCTCCTGGAAACTCTCCTCGCACTGAGCACTCCAATCGAACCTCACGGCCTTCTTCGTAAGGTTGGTCAGCGGCTGGGATATCTTCGAGAAGCCCTCGATAAACCTCCGGTAGTACCCTGCTAACCCCAGGAAACTACGAACATCCGCGGCACTTCTTGGCGTATCCCATTTGCTCACCGCCTCGATCTTGCTGGGATCCACCTCAATGCCTCGAGCGGTCACTATGTGGCTAAGGAATGCCACACGCTGCAGCCAGAATTCGCACTTCGAGAACTTAGCATAAAACTTCTCGCGGCGAAGAGTCTCTAGCACAATCCTCAAATGCTCCTTGTGCTGATTTACATCTCGGGAATAAACCAGAATGTCGTCGATGAACACAATGACGAACTGGTCCAGGAAAGGATGAAAGACCCTATTCATAAGGTCCATGAAAACGGCCGAGGCATTACTGAGTCCGAAGGGCATGACTACGAACTCATAGTGGCCATAGCGAGTACGGAAAGCAGTCTTGGAAATATCCGACTCTCGGATCTTCAGCTGATGATAACCAGATCGCAAATCAATCTTCAAGAAGACGCTGGCTCCTCTCAGCTGGTCGAAAAGGTCCTCAATACGGGGAAGGGGGTACTTGTTCTTGACTGTAAGGGCATTCAACTCCTGATAGTCAATGCACATGCGCATAGATCCGTCTTTCTTCTTCACGAATAGGACGGGCGCACCCCACGGCGAGACACTCGGACGAATGAAACCGAGCTTGAGCAACTCCTGAATATGGGCCTTGAGCTCTTGAAGCTCCTTCGGCGCCATACGATAAGGGGCCTTAGAAACGGGGCCAGCTCCGGGAATCAGGTCAATGGTGAACTCCACCTGGCGGTCTGGCGGTCCTCCGAGTAAGTCCTCAGGAAAAACGTCGAGGTACTCGCAAACAATGGATAATCGCTCGGGCACCCGCTCATCAACGTCGTCGGATACCATAGAAACAAGGTAGCCCTGACAGCTACCCTTGGAAAGGCTCTTCCTAGCTTGCAAAGAAGAGATGACCCGAGGCACAGTCCTCGAACTCACCCCAAAGAATACAACCGGCTGATCGGAAACGGGATAAAGGGTGACTTCACGCTCCTGGCACCGGATGTCGGCTCGGTAACGGGTGAGCCAGTCCATGCCCAAGATCACGTCAAAGTCTCGCATATTAATAACATACACATCGGCCTCCAGAACTCGACCACCAACACAGATAGGAAGATTGCGAACTACTGAATCAGAAACAATAACTTTTCCCGAGGCTAAGCTAACCTCAAGAGGATCACAAGCATGCACGGTGCTAACAGATAAGGCCTCCAAACAACGAGATGAGATAAACGAATGGGCAGCACCGGTATCACATAAAGCAAAAACAGGCACATGGGATATCGAAAGCATTCCGGACATGGTACCTGAATTACGAGCGGCCTCATCATGGGTAAGGGTATAAACACGGGCCTGGCCTCCAGTCCTCTGCTGGAACGGTGGGGGCTGCTGCTGCTGCTGATGCTGCTGATGTGGTGGTGGTGGGGGAGCTGCTGCTGCTGAGGATAGGGCGGCCGCTGCTGCTGTCTCTTAGGCTCGCGGCAAACATTAGCATAGTTTCCCGGGCGGTTGCAGTTGAAACAGGTGCGCTGGCTAGCTAGGCACTCACCGCTATGGGATCTACCGCATTTCGGACAGGCTTGGCCGTTGGAGGGTCGGTTGTCACGCCTATCAAAGCTCACTTTCTTTCCCTTGCCCTTGTTCTTGAAGTCGGACTTCCTCTTACCCGAGCTAGAGCCGGGCGGCACGGTCGAGATGGGCTGAGCATACTGGATAGCCTGAGGAGGCTGAGAGGCGGGAGGATAGGATGGAATGGGAACAACCGGAATGAGACAGCTCTCCACCTCCTGGGCTCGACTCACGGTATCAGCATATGACATTGGTCCATGACTTCCCACCAATTCACGGATCCTCTGGTTGAGACCCTTGAGATATTTCCGGGCCTTCTTAGCATCGGTGTTCACCGCATCACCCGCAAAAAGGCACATACGGGTGAAAGTGCGGATGTACTCATCCACCGAGGAGCTGCCCTGCTGCAAGTGGTAGAATTCGTGCTCCATTCTGTCCCAAAAGCTCTGAGGGAGGAACTTGTTGCGCACCATCGTCTTCATTTGCTCCCAAGTGAGAGCATGAAGCTCCGCCTCGGGCTTCCAGGCCCAAAACTCAATCCACCAGTCTGAGGCATCTTCCTTCATCTGGTATGCCGCGAGGGACACGCGCTGACGGTCGGGAAGGGGAAGCACAGCAAAGATTTTGTCCAGCTCCTTCATCCACTCAAGCACAGCTGTGGGGTTCTCTGTCCCCGAGAAAGTTGGCGCATTCATGTGCTGAAACTGAACAATCAGCTGAGTGAGGTCCATGGCCGGAGGGGCCTGGTGCTGACGACGAGGGGGAGAAGAAGATGGGGATGGCTGACGGTTACGGTGGCGAGTATTCATACTTCTACATTTGAATAAGTCGAGCAAGGTTAGCACAGAAAACAAACAATAATACGTCAGAAGTCTAGAGTTCGCCACAAACACTAGAGTTCGATTAAATCAAGGTGGATAGATCCTAAGCCCCATAGATAACAAGTAATCCACAAGTTCATCACGAGTAGTTTCATTACTACATGTGCATCAATTATATCGCAAGTACTTAAATCAAAACATACCTTAAGCAGCGCGGAGTAACGGAGACGAGTGGTCATAACACAAGGTCTAAACACATAATCACATATGTGCCAGTCTACAGAAACGCAGACTGGCTCTGATACCAAACTGTAACACCCCACTTTGATTATATAGAAATTCCGGATTTTTCAAAAAAAAAAACTAGTATAAAAATTTCAAACTCATTTTCGAAAATTTAGTGGGTGTTAACCAACATTCTCATAACCCAAGTCTTATCTGGGCCTACGGGGATTCATTACCCGGTTTTCACAAGCGGTTTTCATCAACCAACACAAACTCATGAATAAATAGTCAAACATCAATCCCAAAACTACAAGGGTTCATAAGATTCAAAATCCTCACACCAGGTTTGAAAATAGTTTGTACAAAACATAACGTGCAACAAATTTATTCAAGTTCAACGGAAGCCATAATAATGCATAAATAAATAGACCGACCAACTCGTCCTTTCCTCGTCACTCGACTGTCACTTAACCTGCATCGGTAAAGAGCAGGTGGGGATGAGCACAAGATGAAAAGCGTGCTCACCACTATGCACATATATCACAACATAATAATGAAGAGAAGGTATGGTTAGAGTATGAACATAAAACAATTACTCTGTCACGTCTCCAATCACATCACAACATAATACCCACGTGTACACATCTTTCATTAGCCAAGGAAAGGGGATTCATTACCCTAACTCATGGGGGTACGTGCCATACGACAAGGCACGTCCTTTCATTAGGTCTTACGGAGACTTTCCTCGCAAGGGCAACCGTATTACATCGACGGGGACAAACGTACCGACGACCGTAACAGCTCACATCGATAGGCTACATGGTTTACGTACATACTAAAATCATACCCATTCAACATGAAACACACATATATGGCATAGCAAGTTTTGAAT